TGTGGGAACTGCAGTATCCATGAAATCCTGAGCCCATCTGAGTCTCTTTGCCACTGACTGTGTGAAGGTAGGTGACTGAAGTGTACAAAATCTGCTTGAGTTACTACAGAAAAGGGTGCACAGCTGATGTTTCTCATCCTTGCTTATATAACTCTAAAAACTGTCCTTCGCCACAGTCACTGCAGATGACCTGTAAAAGCACTCCTTACAGTTGCTGACTGTATTTTTAGCTGATCTTGCATGTGACTCAGCAGAGAGAAATGAGAAAAGACAGTCCCATGGGAATTTCCAGCTCTCTACACACTACCATGGGTTACCACAGCTGCAAGAGGCCAAGAGGAGAAACAAAAAGGAGGCATTTCCTCTGCTCAGATGTATCCTGCCACCAGGGAATGTGTCTGTAATTTCATAAACATCTTAATAACAACATTTGGGTAAAAAGGACACTGAGCAGACTTGGGCCATGGCTGTAGCTGATTTAGCTTTCCTAGATTACCAAAAGAGACATTGGGATCATAGAATCAACCTGGTTGGAAAAGACCTCAAAGATCACCAAGTCCAACCCTACTGTGGTCACTAGACCATGGCACCAAGTGCCACATCCAGTCTCAGCTTGAAAACCTCCAGGGATGGTGAATCCACCACCTCCCTGGGCAGCACATTCCAATGCCTGATCACTCTCTCGGACTTTTCCTGATCAGACACTTATGATGTAAACTGGAGTAACCTCTCCAGTGTGAGTACAGCCCTGAGATACATCTGACAAATCATTTGGAACAGAACTGAGGTCTTAATTCATCTCTGCTTCTAGTTAAGAGTGGTAATAATGTGTTGAGAGAGAAAGTGTATTACTCCAGGCACCATGCCCTTCCAAGCCAACTCCTTGACTCCTGAACTGGAGATCATCCAGCTCAAAGAACTGAAGCAAAAACACTTAGGCACCAGCACTGAATCCCCAAGTCAAAGGTCACTTTTAAGCACTAGTGATGTGCCCTTCAGCTTGGCATGCTGGCTCATGTTAAGATCTGTGCCCTGGAAAAATGCCTGAGGTTTGTGCTGAAAGACTAAGATTTCCAAATAGGAAAAATTGACTTTTCTTTCAGCAGAACCTATGGAGTTGTACATTGCTGAGGGTTTTGCCAAGGTAATTTAAAGACTGCAGCGTTTTCTCTCTGCTGTTAGACTGGATACAACAGTCTGCTACATGTACTTTGCAGGGAATTCTCACCAACCTGCATCTCTTCAAACTGCTGAGAACAGAACTGCCCAGGACAACCTTATCTGCCGCATCCTAGCTCAGTTTTGACAGCACTGACCTTTTTACAGAGTGATGAAGTCTTCTCCACTTTTTGTTCCCATCTCATTCCCACTAGTGTGATCTTTTCTCATTGCATCTCCCTTTGAGGTATCTTCAGAGCCACCTCTCACCTCAGGCATAGCAAACATTTTGCAGAAGAACCCAGCTAGTGTGACAAAGTCTGAGCCAATCTTTCTGCAACCTCACAGCCAACCAGTCCATAACAAACACAAGGACCTCACCTGCTTGAGCTTCGTTCCCACCATGGAAGCACTGCTGTCAAGCACAAACACAACGTTCTTTGGCAATGGAGGAAGATCTGTGGGGGCGAAGTAGTGCACGAAATACCCATTAAGAATCTGTGGAAGAGCAAGGAGGTCAGGAAACAAAGGTAGATAATGTGCAATGTTCCACACACATCATTATGGGATATTTGGTTGGGCACACCTGATCCTGCTTTCAATGCCTCTCCCAAAATTGGAGGATATGAGTGTTCCTTGCTATCCCTCTTAATTCTGGTGCCCTGCTTATCTAGTCTCCAGCAGCTTACTGGAGCTCTCCACATCTCCCTCCACGGTGGATGTTGGGGTTTCCTTCCAAATGCAGAAGAATATAACGTATGTACCCAAGGATTAGAACCCCAACATGCCCTCGGGGGACTGGACTTGTATCCAGATCTACATAGTCAGTATATTGAGAAACTGAAAAGCAGATACAAAAAAACCCTCAATCAAGTAGAGACCTGGGTTTTTTAAGTCCAACTTGTGGTTGACAATTAACTGGTTTTATATTGGATAGTTCTTACATGATGGAGAAGTAACCTTCACTTGGAACACATTTTCTAGGACATTTGGAGCATGCAAGACAATTGAACCATCCCAGGTACAGTGAATAAAACAGAGAAGATGAGCCATGTGTACAGTACCTGAACATCCCCAACACTCAGCTCCCTGTTGACATCATATCTAATGATGAAGTCTCCCAAAATGCCATTTCGGGCAATCCTGGTTTGCTCAACCACACTGGGATTGAATGTAACTTTAGCTAAGGTTTTGGTGTGTCCAATTACAGTAGAAGGAGGAGGAGACGTATCACCTGTTGAGATAAAACCACAATATCACAGTTTTTTCCCATTGTCATACAGATGTCAAAGCACATCACTCATGTTGTTGCCATGGACTCAGGTCAACCAGCACAGAAACTTACTGAGGTTAAATATGCAGCTCAGTATTGGTAAAATAAGATCTTAATAATTTCTCTCCTAGAGAAAACAGCATTGCAATGCTATCAGGGATACAAGTGTTTAGGCACAATTGCTGTGCTCACTTCTGTCTGGAGGTCACTGAACTCCAGGCCAGGGTGGGACTGTTCTCTGTGTGACTGTTCCTTACCTTCTGTAAGTAAACACACAACTTCAGACATGTAAGTGCTATTCATTCCAGCCAACTCTAGATACCCAGAGTGCACGTCCTACATCTGAGCTCCTGCCACTCAATGCAGGTATGATTCATTTGAGCTACTTAAAGATTTCCTCCAGGCTTAGATGAATCACACTGCAGATTTTTTCCCTATTGATTATAAAGAGTTCTTGAGGTGACTTGCTCAGATGCACCATAGGCATGTGAGGTGGGAGTGATCTGACTGACTGAGCCCTTGATCTGACAAGTGTCTTATGCGTAATGTCTACATTTTAACAAGTCATCTTAGCTGCTTTTATATTCAGCAGAAGTTGTCATTATAGTCACTGCAATTTCAGTCTTACTGATGAAGGCAACATGCAACACTTGCCAGTGCAGCCGTGCAAACTGCATCCCTGAGATGTAACTCACCCTGACCTCTGAGAGCCCTTCCTGAGCCAGTGGAGAGAGATGTGCCTTGCAGAAGGAAGATAATAATTTAAGTCTGAGTCACCCTGCAGGAACCTCTCCTTGTCCTGTTAGCTGTGTTTGTTTCCTAAAGTTGAGTGACATGGAGATCCCTTGTTGTCTAAATCCCGCTTTACTCTGTTTTGATTTGCCAGCTGTTCATTCCCTCTGAACTCCATAGAGACCCTTACATAAGGCTGACCAAAGTTCATATTTGGCCTTGAACTTCCCCAGATTTTGGGCTTTTTCCCCCTTATCCTAACTATTGAAACCACCAAAATAGCTTCTCAACTGATGCTGTTCTTGGGTGCTTCAGCTCACACAGTGATTATTCCAACACTCCTCCGATGCACAGAAGTTCTATTATATCTGCTCATGTACTGATTAGAATTGATGAGAATGAGCTTCTTAAT